AATAAATAAAGCTCATGACATATTGCTAGGTAAATTGAATGTTTGAACGAATAATATTTCAGGTTTCTTTAAACATTTACCTTGGGTACTGCTTTAAATAATTATATTACATGTATTTGGCTTATTAGACCAGATGCAACTGATTTTAATGAAGCATGTAGGACTTTTTTTTCTTTTTTAAAATAAATGGTTGGTAAATAGTATTGGTTCAGTCCTTCAGAAAACAAAGCAATTAGCAGAACTCTGGACCAGGCAAGAAGAAAATGGGGAGAGTTTTGTGTGATTTGAAAATGAGGCTCAGTATAAATCACAGGAAATTGGGGGAGCATCAAGCCAGTGACCCCACCCCTCCCTGAGCTTGATTCTCTGCTTTTCTCCCTGTTGGGCGTATATCTTCATTCATTGAATACACAGAGACAGAACTCCTGCAATGTGTCAGGGCTCTGGGACAGTGGGCATACAGAGGTGGTTAAGACAGGGTTCCTGTCCTTGAGGGTTTCTTGTCCTGCATCAATACTGGTCAACCTCGATTCCTCCTGCCTATTGCGGGGTATGAGGAAAGTGGAGCAGAACAGAATGACTACTGAATTTAGGATTTAAAAGATCTGAATTTGCCTCCTTATGGCACTGGCTGTGTGGACATTGGCTCAGACAATAAAGAATCTGCCTGCAATGCTGGAGACCTGGGTTTGATCCCTGGTTCAGGAAGGTCTCCTGGAGAAGCGAATAGCAACCCACTCCAGTATTCTTACCTGGGAAATCCCATGGACATAAGAGCCTGGAGGGCTGCAGTCCCTGGGGTTTCACAGAATTGGAACAACTAAGCACTAACACTTTCACTTCACTTTAGGCTCTTAATGAGCCTCAGTTTCCCCACGTAGAATATGCTGTAATAATACTTGTCTTATTGGAACTTTTGCAGGATAAAATGAAAAACTGTTTATCAAAATGAGTATTACCATTTTTGTCTTACCTTGCAGTAATAGTTAAAAGAAAAACCGTGATATCTGCCTGCATGTTCTCAACTCCTATGCACTGTACTATTGACCTTGGAAATTATGCTGAAAATTCACTAAGGCTGCATATGAATAATATCTACTGTTCTTTTAATGTTTTTATGGGGAAAATGTATCACAAAAATAGAAGAATTATCTCTTTTCTCCTATAGTGGACTGTCTTGAGAATATAGCAGATTCTAAAGAAAGTTCTGTCAAAGGTTCCACAGCAAACTATAGAAGATTCTTTCAGAGTTGAATTTGCTTGAAAGGAATTAGCTGCTTAATTGCCAAAAGTTTTAGGTTTTAGGAAATGTTCTAGGATGGTAACTCCCAAACATTTTGGTCCTATAACCCCTTTAGACTCTTAAAAAAATTATTGAGGACCTCAAAAAGCTTTTGTCTAATCAGTCAGGACAGATGTTGGTGTTGAGGAGAATAACTGCTGCACCTTTGCAGTGTTTTGGTGAAACCTCAGAGACAGGGCCTTCTGGCCAGGAATCTGTGATTCCGTATTGTGGGAGCATTCACTGTCTCTGTGTAGGTCGCAGCTCTCTGTGTTTGCCCTGGCTGGCCTAAGAAAGAAGGCATAAACAGATTTCTACAAAAGCTGCAATTCCTTGGAAGACTCAGGAGATGAAGAAGGCTGGTACAAAGTGATTTTGGAATGTAAAGAATTTCTTTGGATTGAGTTCTGTGGAAGTTGGTCACTGACTGCGCTCTTGAGCTCTGAAATATAAATAAGTAGTCTAGGGAATAGTTTCTCTTGATGAATAATTAAAAATATTGTCTGTGTAGTGGGGAGGAACAAGGGGTGCTTTTCTTTATGTCAGTTATATCTATGGATATTTACCATGATATAAATTAAAATAGAAAAATTTAAACTATTAATCCACTTAAAATTTATTATTATGGTAAACATAAATAACATTTTCATGAAAAAGTTGTATTTTCCAAAACAAATGGCAGTCAGTTTCTTTACCATCTGAGCCACCAAGGAAGCCCATATTAGAAATGAAAATTGAAAAAAATTTAAACTATTAATCCATTTAAAATATAATATTATGGGGAACATAAATAATACCTTTATTAAAAATAGTCATTTTTCCAAAACAATTTTTTGTTTGTTTTTAATTAGTTTATTTTATTTTTTTTTATTTGTTTATTTTAATTGGAGGCTAACTACTTTACAATATTGTAGTGGTTTTTGCCAGACATTGACATGAACCAGCCATGGGTGTACATGTGTCCCTCATCCTGAACCCCCCTCCCAGCTTCCTTCTCATGCCATCCCATCCCTCAGAGTTGTCCCAGCGCACTGGCTTTGAGTGCCGTGCTTCATGCCTCGAACTTGGACTGGCGATCTATTTCACATATGGTAATATACAGGTTCGGAGAAGGCAGTGGCACCCCACTCCAGTACTCTTGCCTGGAAAATCCCATGGATGGAGGAGCCTGGTGGGCTACAGTCTGTGGGATTGCTGCGAGTAGGACACAACTGAGCGACTTCACTTCCACTTTTCACTTTGAGACATTGGAGAAGGAAATGGCAACCCACTCCCGTGTTCTTGCCTGGAGAACCCCAGGGACAGGGGAGCCTGGTGGGCTGCCGTCTATGGGGTTGCACAGAATCAGACACGACTGAAGCGACTTAGCAGCAGCAGCAATATACATGTTTCAGTGCTGTTCTCTCAGATCATCCCAGTCTCGCTTCTCCCACAGAGTCCAAAAGTCTGTTCTTTATATCTCTGTCACTTTTGCTGTCTCGCATATAGGGTCATCGTTACCGTCTTTCTAAATTCCATATATATGCATTAATATACTGTATTGGCATTTTACTTTTTAGCAACTCTCTAATGTCTGGCTTGAGTTGATGTCATTTGGATTCTCATATTTGCTTCTGTGTTCAGTCTGTTGGCGATACCACATTTCTTGTAAAAACTCTGAAAAACTCTACTATATACCGTAAGAGAATAAGAGTGAAAAAGGCAGGTAATGTCTTAGTGTTATTAAAATAGTGTTGACCTCTTCAGTCAGTTCAGTAGCTCAATTCTGTCCAACTCTTTGCAACCCCATGGACTGCAGCACACCAGGCCTCCCTGTCCATCACCAATGCCTGGAGTTTACTCAAACACATGTCCATCGAATTGGTGATGCCATCCAGCCATCTCATTTCCTCCCGGCTTCAGTGTTTTCCAGCATCAGGCACTTTTCCAGTGAGTCGGTTCTTCACATCAGGTGGCCAAAGTATTGGAGTTTCAGCTTCAGCATCAGTCCTTCCAATGAATGTTAAGGGCTGATTTTCTTTAGGATTGACCGATTTGATCTCCTTGCAGTCCAAGGGACTCTCAAGAGTCTTCTGCAACATCACAGTTCAAAGGCATCAATTCTTCAGTGCTCAGCTTTCTTTATAGTCCAACTCTCAAATCTATACATGACTACTGGAAAAACCATAACTTTGACTAGACAGACCTTTGTTGGCAAAGTAACATCTCTGCTTTTTATTTTATTTTATATTGTTTTTTTCCGTCTCTGCTTTTTAATATGCTGTCTAGGTTGGTGATAGCTTTTCTTCCAAGGAGCAAGCGTCTTTTAATTTCACGCCTGCAGTCACCATCTGCAGTCATTTTGGAGCCCATAAAAATAAAGTCTCTCAGTGTTTCCATTGTTTCCCCATCTATTTGCCATGAAGGGATGGGATTGGATGCCATGATCTTTGTTTTCTGAATGTTGAGTTTTAAGCCAACTTTTTCACTCTCTCTTCCACTTTCATCAAGAGGCTCTTTAGTTCTCCTTTGCTTTCTGACATAAGGGTACTGTCATCTACGTATCTGAGGTATTGATATTTCTCCTGGCAATTTTGAGTCCAGCTTATGCTTCATCCAGCCCTGCACTTCACATGATGTACTCTGCATATAAGTTAAATAAGCAGGGTGACAATATACAGCCTTGTCATACTCCTTTCCCGATTTGGAACCAGTCTGTTGTTTCATGTCCAGTTCTAACTGTTGCTTCTTGACCTGCATACAGATTTCTCAGGAGGCAGGTCAGGTGGTCTGGTATTCCCATCTCTTGAAGAATTTTCCACAGTTTGTTGTGATCTACACAGTCAAAGGGTTTGGCATAGTCAATGAAGCAAAAGTAGATGTTTTTCTGGTATTCTCTTGCTTTTTCAATGATCCAACAGATATTGGCAATTTGATCTCTGGTTCCTCTGCCTTTTCTAAATCCAGCTTGAACATCTGGAAGTGGAAGTTGACCTCTTTAGACTCCTTAAAGAGTATTGGGTACCTATATGGCTCCCTGGACCACACTTTGAAAACTGCTACTTTAGGATATGGCTTTTGCATGTCCATTTCACAAAAAGGAGCGGTTATAGAATTGCCAGAAGTCACACGCAGCGAGTTGGCAGTTACATGACTAGTAGATGGAGGCTCTAAAGTCCCTGCTTTCGGTTTCCCCTCTGCTCTCCCCTTCCCCCGAGTGCTGCACGGTCCTTTTGTACCTGCCTTATTTGGGTATCATATATCTGAATATACAATATAATATCAAAACAACGCCACACTATATACATGAGACAGTTAACAAGCAGTGCGGGTGAACGGTACCGGGTGCACTCGTGGTTCCTCCCACTCCTCCCTCACCTCCTCTGTCTTCCTCCTCACAGCTTGTCTTGTCATTTTTCTTGGCTCTTAAAGGTCAGTTAACTTGTTTGTTCTCTCCTTTGGTTTTACTGTCTCTCTTGTCCTCTTGGCCACTGATAGTCACACTCCTAGTACGTGGTCTGCTTCTGCGGTCTGTCATACTTCACATATTGACTCCCTGCAGGTTTGAGATCATCATTAAGACAGGCTTGCTCTTCATTCTGGCTGGAGAAGTTCTTCCATGGCTTTCATTGTCACCACTTTGAGAATGAATTCTTTTCATAGTTATAATTTTGTCATCTTTCATTAAAAAGGGGTTAGGTCCTGTAGACATTTACTGTATTAATGGTGTTTATTTTAGACTTACAGAGTGCCAAAGGACAAAACAGGCACCACCAGGATTGGTGACCTGGCGCCCCAGGACATGAAGAAAGTTTGCCATTTAGCCCTAATTGAGCTGACTGCCCTCTATGATGTCTTGGGTATTGAACTGAAACAACAGAAAGCTGTGAAAATCAAAACAAAAGGTAATTTTGAAACAAAAACCAGTTGGATTTACTCCTGAGCTAGTAAGAATGAGCTTGGCTTTTTAGAAGTATCCTTTCTGGGGTGTGGGAAATGCACACATAACAAATTGCCTGTAATCCGCACATGAATACATCTAAAGTTCGGATTCTAAAACATTCTTTCCAAAATTTTTGTAATTTGATAAATCTGTCTCCTAGATTATAGACAATAAAGGCATAATCAAATATTTAATTACCATGGAAAGAAAAGGAAATTCTGATCAAGGATTCTTAAATGCTCTCTCCTTTGAAAGTTGTATTTAAAAACAACATTTGGTACATATACTTATTTCTAAGACTGGATCTTGACAACTGACTTTAATATGGTTAATCCTGATCAATTATTTTTGCTTTATTTATTTGATAGCAAATGCACAGGCAGTCAGTAGGATGTCCCTTTGTTCATTTTAACTCTTTTGCAAAAAATATTCTTCCCTCTTTGAAGACAATAACATGATTTTGGCATATAATATCCCTAAATTGTGCATCTCTTGGGTATGCATAGTTTTTTTTTTCTTTGTAATCAGCTTGCTTTCCCCATTATATAAATAGACTGTTTTTTTAATAATATGATAGAAAACAAACACCTCCTCAGTTCTTGTTTTTTTCCAATATTTTATTCATCTGAAAATCCAGATAATTTTCTGTTGATAAAGCTTTACTATTTAGGAATCTCTGACATCTCATTTAACTTTAAAGATATCTCTTAAAGAAAAACCAAGAATGGGGATTATTGAGTTGCTATGGTAACGTTAGCAAAGACAAGTATTCACCTGATGTAAGTTTTAGAGGCAATTTCTCTGTAGGACTGAAGTGTACCTTCCCTCAAGTCCTCTCTGCCCTGCTGGGCCCCAGAAGACCCCATTCTGTGTTTAGTCCCTTTGAGTGAGTATTTTAGCTTTAGGTTTGTGATGGTGAATTTCTGAGTCAAATAGTTCTGGTTTTCCACAAGTCCATTATGGATAAAGACTTCAGATGCTTTTTCAAAAGCTCATCACAGAGTCTTCTCCAGATACAAAATAAAAATTTAATTTAAATAATTGTGGGAAAAAAATTGTTGTGACTCAGTGTTCAAGACTTTCAGAGTGACTTAGAGAGGCCTTTTAATTTTATCTCAGAATTGCCTCCTACCAGACAGAGAAATATTAAGCCATCTCATTAAAAGTACCACTATTAATATAATAGATTTTCTTTCCACCTTTTTTATATTTTTATATCTTATCTAAGTTATTTATGTTATAAACTAGAATTTGGCATGCTTAAAGATTATGCTTTTCTTAATTCCTAAACTAAAAGTTATTTACTAAGTTACTGACATTCTTCTGAATGTCACAGTTTCCAATGTCTGTTTTCATAGCACGGGGATAATCCCCCCTTTTTTTTTCACCAATGATTTATATCTCCCCGATGATGTGTGTTACACTTTTTTGTTGTAACTGTTCACTCATTGATGAGTGTGGGGTAGGAGGTGCTGGGTAGAAGCTATGCTCACATCAGACTGAAAGCATATAATTTTAATTTAGAAAAATTATAAGTTACCTGTCATGTCTTCTGGAGTTATTCCCAAATATATAAAACAATAAATTTAAATTCACAAAGACCAAGTATCTAATATGTTCTCCAAAGAAGAACATTTGTAGAGCAAGCTCATAATCTTGGCTGATTTTCCAAAAAGCAAATATTTATACTTTGCTGTATTATAGAATGTTGAATGTCAGTTAGGTATGGAAGAGATGAGTGATATTTACTTTAAACGAGAACTTTTAATTTGATTACATTTAGTAAATTATTTGCATATTTTGCCTATTCCCACAGCCCTCTATTTCTCTTTTGTAACAGTTTATACTTTTCTAATTATTTTGGTGATGATCTATAATCATTAGTTTAGTTGTCTTTGCTTGCTAGATTGCTCTATAAGGTGGAGCCAAAATTTTCCAATTAAGTTGTGTTTACCTAATTGATAGACAATGTCACCCGCTTAGGTGCTTGATATAGTTGTCTGATTAAATGACAGTATCAGGAATCTGGTGCCTTAACATTTTTGCATTAATATTTCATAAGTTAATGAAAGTGAAGAGATTTTGCTGTTGTTTTTGCAGATTCTGGCCTTTTTTGTGTCCCATTGACAGTATTGTTAGAACAAGATCAGAAGAAAGTACCAGGAACTCGAATACCCTTGATATTTCAAAAAGTAAGTAGGCCCAAATGGGTCAGCATAGAGACAGCATACTTGAGATAATGGCGTTTTGTTTTTGTTTTTGCATTCATACTATTATAATATAGTTTTCCAATTGATATGCTCTTTTATTTTATGCTTTGGTTTTTCTATTCAGAAAACAGATTTGTTTCAAGGGCTCATAATTTTTATTTCATGGTGATGCTTTCAGTGTTATTTCTTGTAACTGTGATTACCTGGCATCATTTTCCTGTCTTATATTAGCTGGCTTTGTATAATTGAGATTTCAATTCTATAATACATAGGAGTGGGGACTGCTGGTAAATTTCTAGGGAATTGAATCCTCATGAATATTTTATGCCTGTATGTATTTCCCAAGCTTTCCTATTTACAGTGAGGATGTCCAATTTAATTTACTAGTGCCTTCTTCCAAAGTAGGCAAAGAAACCATAAAGTAGAATTAGAAAATGATTGCTAAACTATAAAGTCACTTGTGTAGTCAACACTCAATTATTCATAAGGAGATTATCTATGACAATATAAAAATTTCAGTCTAACCTCTGAGCCATCATTGTTCAGAAACACAGATTACATTGGATAAAAGACAGGGATACCCCTGAGGAAGGCTGGTCACATCAGTTGTGGGCTACCCAAGATGCAGATTTTGCAATAGCTCGGGCATCTCGGCTTCTGAAAATTCATGGGTAGCAAGAATGGCAGTAGTAATGTTCTCAGTTGTTTGGCTCAACAAAGCCATTTAATACTTAAGCTTAATCTACTTGGCACCAATTCTTCCATTATTCTAAGCCAGTCATTTACTATCTTACCTATTAATACTAAGCTCTGATTTCTTCATTCCTCATAGTCACCATTACATCCAAACCTGTGTCTCAGTGTTTCTCCCGCTGGACTTTGCTGTAGACACCAGGTTCTAGTCATTGCCTGCAGAACCTGTGTCTATGTGGATAGTTGTTCATGGTGTCTGTGATAACCAGAGAGATGCTTATAAATGGAGACCAGAGACTGAAGTTGTTTTAATGGCAGTAAATGGTGCGAGTTACTTATGCAGATGGACAAGGCATGGATCTCGGTAGAACCCTTTCCCAGTGTATTGGGGCTATTCAGGGAAACAGCACCAGTAGGAGAGTTCTCTTTCTCTCTCTCTCTCGGAGAGAGATGCTCAATAAATATTATTAAGTGAACAAAGGAATGAGTGTGTGTTGGGGAGGGGAAGAGAGAAAGAGACACATGCAACCACATGCACACACACACATGCTTTCCTTCATTCTCTTATTCAGTAATATTTAGTGAGCATCTGTCTCTCTTTTGGGGCCAGGGGCCGGGGGAGAGAGAGAGATTTATTATATGTGAAAGAATTAGCTTCTGCAATTGTGGGGCCTGTCAAGTCTGAATTATGTACAGCAAGCTGGAAACACAGGCAAGGGTTAACATTTCAGGGTCGAGTCCAAAGTCTGCAGGCAGATTTCAGTGCCGCCGTCCTGAGGCAGAGTTATGCTGCTTTGGGGAACCTCAGTCTGGATTCAGCCTTCAGCTGACTGGATGAGGCCCACCCACTTTACGGAAAGGAGTGCTTTACTCAGAGTCTATAGGTGAAATGTTAATCGCATCTATAAAAAAACACCTTCACAGCAACACCTAGACTGGTGTGTGACAGAATAGCTGGGTACTGCAGCCCAGCCCAGGTGACACATCAGATTCACTATCACATCAGCGGAGAGCAGGCGTTGGTCCCAACGGAAGTCAGTGTTGCCTGCTGGTCAGACTCAGGACTGCATCCAGCCCCCTATCATTTTCTCTTGATGTTGTTTTCATAGTTAGTTAGTTTACAGTTTTGGTCTCTTCAGACTTTTTAGAGACTCAGACTACCCACCAGTTTGAAGTCTTTGGATAAGAGCCTTAAAGATTTTGGGTTCATAAAAAATAAAAGAGAATATACAGAGCTTTCTGTTAGATAACACTCATCTATTTGTATCCCCTCTGAATGATAAGCAAAAAAAAATCACTGTGATCTGTCCCCAAAAGTATTTTTTTATTTTATCAGCTGACAATGCAATTAGGTATCCCCTTAATTTTATTGAAAGGAAATAATTGAAAACCACTGATTTGCAAAAAATTTTTTATTATCGGTCTTAACAGATTGTATTTTCTCAGTTATTGAGAAATATACTCAAAGAGGCTTTAACAAAGCTTATCTAATATCTATAAGTTGTATCTGGTTCCTCATGCCACTCCACCCCCTCCCTCCACCCCACACCTTAGAAACACACTGTTTAAACCCTATTCCCAAAAGCACTGGAGAAATAGAAATATTCTTAACTTTTATCTATGGCAAAATTCTGGGAAATTAGTAAATCATATTTTCATAATAAAGTATTATTTGTATTTTAACAATGACAATAGAATGTAGCTAAAATATGTTATTTTCAAAATGGGAAATAATGAGAAAAATGACAGTGTATATATACATTCTCTGTTGAATGCTAGTGTTCAGCATTAGAGAATAATAAAAAGCATTAAAATATAAAAGTGTGAAAATTATTCTCATTCAGTTATTTAGAAATCATCAGTTTTGCCTGTGTATTTAATAAAAGCAAAATTTGTCTTACTGCTAAAAACTAATTTGATCCAGCTACTGGCATGCAATTTTATTTTTTGTTAATAGAATATTTTAAACATTTTATAAGATGAAATACAACAAATTGCTTGTATGTTGAATAAATGTTGCATGGGTATTATTTGATATATTTAGTTTTAAATACTTTATTGAATAATGTTCATCTAATCTAAAATAATTCATTTAAAGATTTTTTTCCCATGAGTTTTTATCCATTGTAACTTGAAAAATGTCTTGAAAATCATTCCAGTTGAATTTTTGAAATTCAGCGCTTCTGTTTTCAGTCACTAATAAATACTTGGGAGACTACTCTTCACTTTGTTCTTACCTGACAAACTCAAAATTAGTACAGACTTTGTCCATAATCCAGGGATCTAAGAGGTGGGGTCGTGGAGGAACAATTGTCCCCTCTTTCAGTGTCTATGTGCTACAATAAATCTTATTTCAGGACATCTGGATAAAGGTCAAAGACTTCATTCATAATGCCATGCTTTGCTCCTCATAGACATTTTTATAAGCATGGGGAAAATAGTACGCTTTATGTTATTTATAAAGCCTTGGGAAATCATTAATGAGATTTCTCTGGAAAAAAAATTTATAATTTTATACTGTTTGGGCAGTCTGGAAGATGCTGTGCCTCAGGGTATGCAGGGGGTATTATAGTAAGTTTTGGGTTGAGAGAAAAGTAGGTTTGTCTTTTAGAAGAAGGCTATTGTGAAAGGAGGGGAACGGATCGTAAGGAAAGCCTATATGATGCTACTTTCACTTTTCACTATTTCTTTAAAATAGTCAGTGAAAAGTAAAAGTCACTCAATCATGCAACCCCATGGGCTGTGGTCCGCCAGGCTTCTTGGTCCATGGAATTTTCCAGGCCAGAATACTGGAGTGGGTAGCCATTCCCTTTTCCAGAGGATCTTCCCAATCCAGGGATCAAACCCCCCGGTCTCCCACATTACAGTTGGATTTTTTACTGTCTGAGCCACCAGGAAAGCCCTTAAAATAGTCAAGTGAAAGTTGCTCAGTTGTGTCTGACTCTTTGCAACCAGTCCATGGAATTCTCCAGGCCAGAATACTGGAGTGGGTAGCCTTTTCCTTCTCCAGGGTATCTTCCCAACCCAGGGCTTGAATCCAGGTCTCCCACATTGCAGGCTACAATAATTTTTACCAGCTGATTCTTTACCAGCTGAGCCACAAGGGAAGCTAAAATAGTCAAGTACCCCCTAAAAAGCTTTTGTGTACTGCCCAGGGAATGCATATTCCAATTGAAAATCTCTGCTAAGAAACTAACCACTTCCTAGCTTCCAGTGTTATGTCATTGAAATTTCTCCATTTTCTTATTCTTGTGGGTTTCTGCCTTATTAAAACAAACAAAAGAGAAACTTAGAGATCTGTGTGTATTCATCAGGTATGATTTAGACCCGTACCAGAACTGTTTTTTTATTTAAGTTTACCACCAAAAGCTTAAAGCCTAAAAATGAGTATTTGCAAGCAGTTTTTTTTCCTTCATATCATAAACAAATTTTTCTTTGAACAAACTGAAAAGGAGGTGTACATATGGAAATACTGTAATTTCATAAGATGTATTTGATTGCAGAATGTATGTTTCTGAAAAAGCAGAAGAAATGGATTGTCTTAGTTACTTTGAAACCATGAACATGGGTCAGTCTCTATCTAGGATATTGCAGGTGTTGTGTGAAGTTATATACTTTTGTTCCAAAGGACCCAACTTTTTCCAAATTACAACTAAAGTTTTGGGATATATTGCCTTAAAGATGAGTAGTGATTGTGCCATAGCATTCAAAACTTAGTGAAATCCAGTTAACATGTCACTGTATTCAGTTTTTATTTATGTATGAAGGAGATGTTAAATTTGAGACTGTACCTATTAAGAATGCCAAAATCAGAATGTCCTTCTGTTTATACACAGCTGATTTCTCGCATTGAAGAGGGAGGTTTGGAAACTGAAGGTCTCTTAAGAATCCCTGGAGCTGCTGTTCGAATCAAGGTGATTTTTTGGTTCTACTCATGGAAATAACTTTGTTTAATTAAACTTTCTGCATCTGCAAAGCTCAGTTGTCCTCCCCACTCTTTCTTCCCATTTTAGAAGATGAAAAAACACAAAAACATCCTAACATTCAGTTTATATTAGCTTTTCTACAGTCTCTTCTGATTGTAAATTTTGACTTTTTTCCCCAAAATCACCCTATTACCAGTAACAATACTGTGATAAATAAAGAGGCAAATGATTTTACTCTCTGACTGTGCAGATATAAAATAGGGACAAAAGTAAGCAAGCAGAAGACAAGAGCAACTCTGTCCTACTGATGGAAAGAGAACATGATGGGTCAAAACACTAAGAGGGGACTGCTGACGGTCTGCATGAGTAACAGTGTGAGATTTATTTCCTTTTCTTTTTTAAAGGGCAGGATGGTAAACTCCACCAGGTGGGCAGAGTCGGGGACTTGACATTAGTCTCCGTACATGATCAGTCTTAGCGAGCTGTCAAAATAAGATTGTCTTAACCACTCCTGACTGTCCCAGTTCCTTGGCTCACTGGATCCAAGGGTAGCCTGAGTCCAGCTTGTGAAAGACTCAAGGGGATTCCCAGGCTTTCCAGTTGGAACCCCCTTTCTCACTCCCCTTCTTGCTTTTTTCTCAAGATGACATTTCCTTCCCACTTTCCTAGGATACTGTGTGTCCTCCTCCTTTCTCTTTCCTGACTCTTGCTCTGGGGAATCCAGTATCCAATGAATGCTTGGTCTAAGTAGAATTACCCTGCGGATGATGTAGATGGAATGTGCCTCTCCAGTGATTTGCATTTTATGGGGACTTCATACTTGGAATTGTAGCTCTATCTGGAAAACTTATCTAGGGAATTTTTTTGGTTATCAGTCATTAACAACCTCCTTAACCCTTATCCTCCAAATTCAGCTCTGGCTCTAAAAAGATAACACAAGTCACTGGCCACATCCAATATTTTGTCTTCCTGAATTTTTAAATCCAAGAAAAAATAGGATAAAGGGAAGAGATATTCCCTGTTCATCTCCTAAAGATGTATTCTGTATGAGCTCTTTTGAGCTAGATCGGGAAGAAATAACTCTTGGTGGATGTACACTCTGGCCCTGACAGTGCCGGATGTGTGCAAAGATTCCACCGTTTGCATCACTTGCTGATTTTGATAAGCTTCTTCAGTTTAAAGCATTAGTTTTGGCTTATATGGCTCTTACCACATTGTGATCTCAGTTTAATTGGATTTGAGTAACCTGATAAATCATGAGAAATGCTGGGCTGGATGAAGCACAATCTGGAATCAAGATTGCAAGGAGAAATATCAATAACCTCACATATGCAGATGACACAAGTCTTAAGACAGAAAGTGAAGAAGAACTAAAGAGCCTCTTGATGAAAGTGAAAGAGGAGAGTGAAAAAGTTGGCTTAAAGCTCAGCATTCAGAAAACTAAGATCTTGGCCGCTGGTCCCATCACTTCATGGCAAATAGATGGGGAAACAGTGGAAACAATGTCAGACTTTATTTTGGGGGGCTCCAAAATCACTGCCGATGATGATTGTAGTCATGAAATTAAAAGACGCTTATTCCTTAGCAGGCAAGTTATGACCAACCTAGACAGCATGTTAAAAAGCAGAGACATTACTTTGCTAACAAAGGTCCGTCTAGTCAAGGCTATGGTTTTTCCAGTGGTCAGGTATGGATGTGAGAGTTGGACTATAAAGAAAGCTGAGTGCCGAAGAATTGATGCTTTTGAGCTGTGGTGTTGGAGAAGACTCTTGAGAGTCCCTTGGACTGCAAGGAGATCCAACCAGTCCATCGTAAAGGGGATCAGTCCTGGGTGTCATTGGAAGGTCTGATGCTGAAGCTGAAACTCCAATACTTTGGTCACCTGATGTGAAGAGCTGACTCATTGTAAAAGACCCTGATGCTGGGAAAGATTGAGGGCAGGAGTAGGGGATGACAGAGGATGAGATGGTTGGATGGCATCAGCGACTCAATGGACATGAGTTAGGGTAAACTCCGGGAGTCGGTGATGGACAGGGAGGCCTGGCATGCTGCGGTTCATGGGGTCCCAAAGAGTCAGACACGACTGAGCAACTGAACTGAACTGATATATACCCTGCTCACAAATGTCATTCAACTTACATCCCCTGCATCTGATGTCTGATGCACAGAGGTCCCCAAAACTGTTCAGATGTTCTTGTAATTTTGATACATGGCCACTGTCTCACTTCATTTGTTGACACCTGTGGCGGTTTCGCCACCAGTCAGTCAGGGACAGTGTATGTGATTGGGAGATGAGTCCTGTGGAGAAATACATTCTCTAACAGAGGAAGAGTCTTACAGAAGCCAGCTACATGATTCCATTCTACCCATCTTAGCAAGAACACAGGTTCCCAGGTCATTGTTCATGTCCCTCATTAGCAGAATGTGATGGCCAACTCAGCAGAGTCATAAACATGTTTACTTTAGTACACAAGGATGGATGTAATGTGGATTTCACATTTTGACCAGATTGCTGGCAGAGGAGTGAATTCAACTATATGTAACTTCTTAGAAGGTCAATAAAGTAGATTCAACTGGCTCAACACAGCCTGTTATCACAGACTGAGTGATATAGCAGCTGTTCTCTGTTTTGTGTATAATGTAAAGATGACTTGCAAAATTTAGAGTTGTCATTCTTCTCCCTTCCCCACCAAATTTCTTGGACTCTCCCTCCCCCTCCGTCATCTTCTCTTCTCTTTCCTCTCCTTTCCCTCTTGGTTCTCTCGCCCCCTTTCTCCCTCTTCCCCAGGCCTTCTTTCCTTCCCTCCCTTCCTCCCCACCTCCTTCCCCCCTCCCTTCTTTCATCCCTCTCTCCTTCCACCTTCCTCTTCCCCCATTTCTAGGTTAACCTTTGTGTATTTCACCAATTACAAAAAATAATTAGGGTAGAGGATGGAATTGTGTTGGGAAGAGAAAGTGTAATAAATTCACCTTACAGGAAAAACAAAGAACGTTTCTTGGGAGAACAGTTTCAAATATTAGAGGGGAGTGACAGAAACTTGGAAGGGTTTCTAGCATAATAGGATTTATGCCACAGTGAAAAAGCATATAGAAAATAGTAATTATGAAACAAAATTGATTTATTATTAATAATTTGTCTGGCAGATTTTGTGGAGTCCTTGAGGTAAATGAATTAGGTACTTCTAATTCCACAAGGACTCCAGCTGTTTTTTGCAGCTGGCAGCAGGATGGCTGGGTCACTGATAGCATACGTGTTTAGGAAGGGGTATATTTTTGTACCTCATTCGCTATGGAATTTGGTTTTCCATTTCCCAGAGGTGACTATAATCAGAAGTGGCCTTTTGATTTAGGTCCATAGATGGATTGATTAAGTATTTTGTTATATAATGTTCTTCTAAATAAAGCACAGACTTTTTCTTTAAATAAATTTTTAAAAGTTGGTGAAAAACTATAGTATCTAAGTAAAGCCCCCAAGTGTAAAGTCTGTTTTAACTGTTCTCTTATTTCAGCCTCTACTGCTTAATTTTGTTGCCTATCCTGGAAAATGTGTTAAGTTTTGGAATTCTAGACCTTAGGTATCGTTTTCATTGATGAATTATACTTGGGGTAGGAGAAGGAATATTTTTCTGAGTAATAGAGAAGTGTTGGCTTTCAGTAGTTTCAGATGTCTTTTCAAAAAAATACCACCTTGGGACTTCCCTGGTGGCCTGGTGGTTAAGAACCAGCCTTGCAATGCAGAGGACGCAGGTTGGGGAACTAAGATCCCCCATGTCGTGGGCAACTAAGCTTGCCAGCCACAACTAGAGAGCCTGCACACCGCAACGAAAGGCCTCATGCAGCCAAATTAATAAATATTAAAAAAGCAAATAGTGAAAAGCCACAAAAGGGTAGAACCTCTTCTGAAGTGGGAAGTATATCAGTCTCAGCAAGGGAAAAAAAAAAATCAACTTACTGGTAGCTTTCCCCCCCCCCCCCCCCTTTCTCTCTTCTGCCTTTCAGAATCTTTGCCAAGAACTAGAAGCTAAGTTCTATGAAGGGACTTTTAATTGGGAAAGTGTCAAACAGCATGATGCCGCCAGCCTGCTGAAGCTCTTTATCCGGGAGCTGCCCCAGCCGCTGCTCAGTGTAGAATATCTCAAAGCTTTCCAGGCTGTCCAGAGTAAGTGCCACCCCTCTCTGAAGCAATCCCTCTGTCAGTGCCATCCATATTAATTGCTTTAATGGCATTTTGCTTTGTGAAGAACATAACCAGATGTATTTGGGTAGACACACTGACTCATTGATGTGAGTAATAAAATGCCACTCGATGTGTTCTTTTCCTGTATAAATATACATCTAAGAGTAAATAGATAGCAGATCTATCCATATCTCTTCAGGTACAGACTAATTGCATGCCCTTTAAGCAATACAGTGTATGTATTTTCATATTAAAAGCTGGAAACGTCATACTTCTTTTTTAATAGAATGAATCACGTAAGCTCTCTGATACATTTTTCTTGCCAAGTGTTAAAAGCAACACTTACTGGAGAAGCTGTGGATTAACAGTTATCATAAAAGCACAAAGAGATGTGACAGAGTATGTGATCATTTCCTGAAAAATTAACTCCTGAAATTGTCATGCAGAAACATGGAACAAATCATTTGACTGCTTCATTGGTCGGGGGGGCAGCAGATTTCTTATGTCTTTCCATTTTGTGGTCTTGGGCAGGCTCCAAATTAACTTCTTGAATAGTTCTCAATTCCTTTCCAGTGAACAGAGAGATCTGATGAGGTTCATGTACTGGCATAATTATCCTTTTTAGTCATAGAAACCATCCAAAAAGGAAGAATGCTGTCACCACATTTTAGTGACCAAGCCATACTTTAAGTTCCAGATTGGGACACTTTTGAGAGTGAAAGAGAAGCGCTAGTGATGATTACACTGAACTGCAGTGTCAACCAGACCTTTTCCAGGCTATTCTTTTTTTTTTAATTGAAGTATATTGACATATAATATTATAGTAGTTTCACATGTACAATATTTGTTATTTGCATGCATTGCAAAGTGATCATCATAATGTCTACTTAACATCTGTAACCATTCATAATTATAAAAAAATGTTTTCTTGTAATGAGAACTTTAAAGATCTACTCTTAGTAACTTTAAAGTATGTAATATGGTATTATTAACTATAGTTGCCACGCATAGTCTGATGCATAGTCTTTCAGTTGTGTCTTATTCTTTGCTACGCTATTGACTGTGGTCCTCCAGACCCCTCTGTCCAAGGGATTCTGCAGGCAAGAATACAAGGAGTAGATTGCCATGCCCTCCTGCATGGGCTCTTCCTGACCCAGGGAACAGACCTGTGTCTCCTGCAGCTCCTGCATTGGCAGGTGAATTCTTTACCACTGAGCCACCTGGAAAGCCATAGTTGCTATGCTTACATTATTTCCCTGAGACTTACTTATTTTGTAAGTGGAAGTTTGTACCTTTTGTCTGCCTTTAGCCATTTCCCCGCCTGACCCCGATACCTATGGTGGTTCAGATTCTTTCACCAATCTGTTCTCTGTATATGTGTGAGCTGTTTTGTTTTTGTTTTAGATTCAATATATAAGTGAGATCATAAGATATTTGTCTTTCTCCATCTTATTTCACTTAGCATAATGCACTCAAGTTTCATCCATGTTGTTGAAAATGGCCAGATTTTTTTTTAATGACTGAATATTATTCCATTATGTTCCAAGCTATTAAAGCATGTCATATTGAGATGTTTCCCATGGCTTATCCCATATCATAACACTTATTCAGAATTTTTAGGGAAATATGACTGAAATTGTCATTTAAAATATTTTTTTAATGGTTAAGTTGTGCTATTTTGCATATATAGTCCTTAGATATGGATTAAAGGACCAAATTTATCTGATTCCAGATATCCACAAGTATTACTTATTGGGATGGGGGTACTGAAAATTGGAAATATCAATAATAATAATGTATCTCTTCAACTCACTCATTGCTGATTGGTTTTCTTATTCATTTCACAAACATTTATCAAACACTTATTGTGTTCCAGGCTGTTTTACATATTCCTGTTGGAATTGATAGGCTTTTAACCATGTACACCACATAATTTGTTCACTCACCATGAGAAGCTTCACTGTTATAGGTGCACTCTGACACTGTATTATAAAAGGTCAATCTCCTCTGCCTTTTCATTGGGGAGTAATTATCATGCGGAAGTTAAAATTATTTCCAAAGTACTATTGTATGTCTGCAAACACAAGGCCGCCGTCACACGCTCACAGTTGGAAGTGAGCATTCCGAGAGAGGAAGCTCTGCTTTACCAGCTGCTTCTCCTGGTCCCCCCCACACTCTCAACAAGGCTTACTGCTCACTCACTGTGTCTCACATTTCACAGTGACGTTTATGCCAAATAACTTTTTTCTTGCAAAACAGAAAAAGAAAGTAAAGAGAATTATTTGGTAAAGACAACAATTCAGATGTATTTAATCTGTCTGCAGATCTTCCAACCAGGACGCAACAACTACAGGCTTTGAACCTTCTTGTCATCCTCCTGCCCCATGCAAACAGAGACACACTCAAGGTCAGCTGGTTTCATTTACGCTAAATGTCCCTCAGAACTAAGAGTCATTTTTCATTATTTGTGGCAAAACAAAATAATGTTATTGTGGAAATGTTAGTAGTTGTCTATAAAGTGAAGACCTATTTTTAAGGAGAGATGATGAAAGTCTTTAACTTAATTAATTTTTTATTTAATTTATTTTAAATTAATTAGTTTATTACCCAGGTTAGTCATGTTAATAGTATCATTAAGTTCGGTTTTTTTTGTCTTTTTTTCAACTATAATATTTCTTCTACTGGTGATTGAGGTTCATTTGTTAATAAAAACATGAATGTATTTTAGTTTTTTCTTCTTTCTATTATTCCTGTTTTTTCCAGTTTTATTTAGTGAGCATGTACTAGTAAGGTAAAAATTGAATGTTTAAAAAGGAACTCCTAAAGCTCACCAAATATAGCCCATTGCTGCCTAAAGATGTTCCATGTGTTTGTAGTTCCAAGCAGAAGAGTTTGAAATAAGTCTTAATGATGAACTTCATAAACCAACTCAAATTCTAGTCATTTCTCTAAGGGCTTACCCTGAGTTTCTGATCTGTATCATCATTTCACAGTGATTTGGTCTGAGAGTCATATGATTAAATATCCTTTAATATGTATCATCAGAGCCTTTCATAATAATCAGTGGATTGTTCTACATTGATTAGTTTTCCTTAATGGCAAAAAAAATTTTAGAGTAGTTAGAAAAGGTTTAATTATAAACTCTTAGAAAAAAAAATTTTAATGTAATTTAGAAAGCACATCTACCTTATGTTTTACTGTTACCTTAAAAAAAGTTTTTTATACAAATAAGGGTGCAACCCTTGCCCATTTGCCCCTATAGTTCCTTATATTTAAAATGAAAAAGAATCATGTCAAAAAATTTCCTGTTGAGAAAACAAAACCACCAGTTGGTAAACCTTGGAAATGTTTTTCTGTACCTCATTAAGACTCCTTGAACTGAAACCAGGTGAGCAAATTCCATGCCCTTGGAATAAATGTCAATACTTAACTTTTCTGGCCGTAGCAGTTGATGAGGATTGCTGGAATAAAACATTACATCGCTGCAAGAGAACTTCCAATGAGTTGTTCCCTTTACTCAGTCAGAAAATAATCTTTCACTTCACTGATTAACTCTGTGAGTAGCTGAGAAGGCCGGTTAGGTTAGGTTTGGTTTGGTTTTGGAGATAGAATCCAGCTCCAGGAAGGGGTGTTTTGAAGCACCACGTGACCAGGGCTGCTGTGTATGGGTGGGTAGACTGTGGCTAAAACAGGGACATAGGGTCCAGGACGAAGTGGGAACTGATTTTTCAGTCTGTTCCCTGCTTGTCAGCCATGCCCTTGCCACAGGACATCAACTACCCAGAGAGAGGAATTTAGTCCGTCTTTTTTCTGATTCACATAAAGGTGCTTATCTGTGTGATGGCCCTGTGAATGGCCAATATAAAATGGAAATCTAAAGACACATGAGTTACTTAAAATATGCCTACTTTCAAAAGAGTTCAACTAGTAGTGGAGGAAACACTTATTCCAATATGGTTACTATTGGGCAAGGTTGGCCCAGAACTCATTCTTGGATTTTGCCTTTAAACCCCAGACACATTCTTTTAAGACAAAATCTGTTTAAGAGTGTATTTTTTTTTTTTTTAAGGTTTAGTTTTACTTTTAGGACATGAAGTTACTGGAGCACAATTTTATAAATAAGTGGAAAATACTTTCTTGGGGTAAAAAGTTGGAAATTGCCAAACAATTTTACTAATTTACTTAAGCTTTAATAGTTTAATTAGCCAGATCTGGTAAAGGTTTCAACTTCATCACAAGGTGATTTCAGGAAACTTAATGCAAACTTCCTCAATTTTTCCAATTTTGCCACTCTTTCTGTTGCCATTTGGAGGGATAGGGTCATGTACATGACTTGTATAGACTGTTTCTACAACACATCTAAGGGTTTGGAGGGACCGTATTAAACCCTATGTCTTAGTTTAAATCTAAGGCAACAGATGTCTTTAGGCAATTTGTTGACCAGGATTTTTTTTTTTTTTTAACCTTGGCTTCTGTGCATTTGGACTAGTGATCAAACCTACCTTTGACTTGGAGGAATAACAAAGACTAATGCTAACAGTGGGGAATCCATGTTAATATTATTATTCACAAGCATTTTATCTTCTTTGTAGTTTCAGCAAATTCATTGTATATATTTTGTTGCTTAATCTTGGCAGGCTAGGAAATTAGTATTCCCATTTTATGAATGAGAAGAATTTAAGGAACGGGATGCCAAAAGGTTTACCCTAAGATCGCACAGAGCTAATTTACTAATTAGCTAATTAGTAACCAACTGTACTGAGACTCAAACTGAGTTTTCGGAGAATGGGCCCAGTGACATTTATATAACACCAGACTGGTGATAGATACTTTTTTTTTTTTTGGCTTTACTATGCCACATGTGGGATCTTAGTTCTCTGACTAGGGATCGAACCTGTACCCCCTGCATTGGAAGCGTGGAGTCTTAACCACTGGACCCAGGGAAGCCCTAGTGATAGATACTTTTAAGAAAAGGCAGCTCTTATAGATCAGATGTAGAGACAATACATCCAAAGATGAAGTTCTTTCAGCAGAGCCTAGGCTAACATTTTATTAGTTTTATATCTACACACATAACATTCTAATATCCTGATAGTAGTATTTTGATTAACTTTATTGCATTATGCATACTACCTTTAAGTGGTTTATTACCTCAACTCTGTAATTTATGCTTGTAAAGAAAGACACTGTTCCCTGAATAATTATTCTGGTCTCTGGAACAAAATTAAATATTTTTTCCAAACCTTACCAATTAATCTTTTGTCCTCATTTGAGACAGTATTGTTTCTACATAACCTTATTCTTGGATTACAGTGTAACTTTCTGAGCACTGGATCAAAAATTAGATACATGAATCTCATTGTTAGATAGTAAGGCTGTGCCTTTAGTTTGTTTCAAACTTTGAAAGTCTATATAAGAGCTAAACTGGATTCAAGATCATGCTTTTAGAGCTTATAAGAATTTTTTTCCCTAAAAATCTTGTGAGAGAAGAACAGTTTTTTGTTGTTGTTATTTTTCCATTTTGGCATAGTTTATTTGGCCTTTTTTAATGTAGGAATTTTACGCTAAATGTGAAAACATGCTTCTTTTAATAGTTAAGAGTTCAGAAAGAAAGCCAGATAGATAGGCAATCGAGTTACTTCTCCCCCATTTGCTCACTCTATGACATCGGGTAAGTTACATCCATTCTCTTAGATGCTGTTTTCTCATCTGTATGATGGAAATCATTACAGCTTCGATTTCCAACCAGGATTAAGTTAAATGATGCCTATGAAGTTCTTAAAACAATACTTTGCTCATAGATATCATTGACTATCTGTGCAGTTGTTGTTGTTAATGGTTTAGACCAAAACTGACTCGCAGAAGAACTGCAAGCTTTCTGTCCTGGCAGAAGGCTGGTCTAAGCTGCCTGTGGTTGTTGTGGAGGAGGAGCTCGGAGGAGACTTAAGTATTGGTGATAGAGGTGGGAAGTGGGTGGCATCAAACGGAGCATAAACTAGCTTGGTCTGGTGAAAAGCTTCTTTTCATTTTTTTTTTCTTTTAAATTCTCTTCTTTTTGTCTTTAGCTATTCTTCCTCCTCCCCATCAGAGTCTCCATTCTTTTTGGGTTTCATGTCAGCCAGCTACTGAATCCCTTAAAAACAAATGCAACTGAGATTGAATGAATCCTTTTAAGGTTTTTCTTTTCTTTTTTAAAATTTTAATTCCTAGAGATAAAGTACAGCACTTCCTGCAGCAAGTGAATATTTGTTTGATATTTTAACTATTTTTCAGTGCTCCATGGCTTGGTAGGCACGCAGTCTGATGCTTTATCCCTCTCCCCACTGGCAGCTCAGATATGTATCTCTTGCATCATTCCCCGGGGCCACAGTCCTTAGCAGACACACAGCACCACCTCAGGGTGTGTTAACCCATGCACCAGCTTTGAGGACAAGGCCCACTGGATGTGGCCAGCTGACTGTGGTTATGTTCAACTTAGTTATTTTTTTTAAAGTAAATAAAAATCTTACGTGCTACAGTGCTTTAATCACTTATCTTCATGTATGACACAGATCTCAAAGAGTCATTTCTGTTTCAGGCCCTGCTTGAATTTCTCCAAAGAGTCGTAGACAATAAAGAGAAAAATAAGATGACAGTCGTGAACGTAGCAATGGTCATGGCCCCAAATCTCTTCATGTATCACACATTGGGTTTGAAGTCCGGCGAACAGAGAGAATTTGTAATGGCAGCCGGGATAGCTAATATCATGCACTTACTGATTAAGTATCAAAAACTCCTGTGGACAGTAAGTATATATTTTCAAGCTCTGTTAATGAGTGATAATATCTAGATCTTGAAGTCTTTATTATTTTTATATTGTTATAGTCTCTGCAAAATAACCAACATAGGTGATTTCAAATGCAGTTAAAAAAAAAAAAAAAAACTAATGTTCTAAATCTCATTTCTTAAAATGCCAACATGATTTTATTGTTTCAATTTGGTAACTTCTAAAATATATTATTTTTGCTAATGGAATTTCTGTGGATTATTTTTTCCTGGATTTTTATTAGGCATCCATCAGCTCTTGGTGAGTTTTTCTTTCTCTTCTGACAGGAGAGGCTAGCTGGTTAGCTTTTAGAAGAGGTCTATAGGTTAAAGAGGTAAGGTTATAGATAGGTAGCCCCTAAAGGGGCCAACCATTGAGGTGGTAACCCCCTAATGCCAGTTACCTCAGGCATTCCCTTCTCTAGGGGATCTTCCCAACCGAGGGACCGAACCCGGGTCTCCTGCATTGCAGGTAGATCCGTTACCCCTGAGCCAGCAGGGAAGCCCACACACTGAGGAGCCCACTGTTGAGGTCAGTCACCCCAGGCAGTCTCCAGTCTTGGCATAGGAAATGGCCTCTCTGAACCTTAGACAGTGGGTGGTGACCTGCATCACTTGGAGGCTCTGAACACGTGGTGAGCAGTACGATCCATTTCTCCCCCATAGATTTAATGGATCGCATAGGCTTATCACATGGATAAAACCTTTGCTTCTCTCCAAAGATGAGAAATATAATTATTTCAGTAGTTGACAACGTTGCTACTTCTTTTTCCTCCCCAAACTTAATTTCATTTCTCCATAGATTCCCAAGTTTATTGTCAACCAAGTGAGGAAGCAAAACACGGAAAATCATAGAAAAGATAAAAAAGCCATGAAGAAATTGCTGAAGAAAATGGCTTATGATCGAGAAAAATATGAAAAACAAGATAAGAGTGCAAATGATGTAAGAAACAATTTGAAGATATATGTATTTATGCAGATTGCAGAACTGCTTTTAATATCATATATACAACAGAGTTTTAAATGTTTTATAGGATGACTTTCTACACACTTGCTAAGCTCTGGTAGTGTTTGTAAGTTAAAAGCATTAATAAGGGTAACTATGCTCATTAGTACTAATAAGTAGGGATAGTTGCACAGGTCTTCGTGACTCAGCATGTGAGTTTGTTGATAAAGAACAAAGGAAGATAACAAGAAAGGAATGTCTCATCACATGCTCACCCTCACCCACCCATGTGTACACACACACACGGGACACTGGAGATAGCAGTTGTCCATAAGCTGTAATGTTTAATGGCTAAAGAGTCCCTTGTGTGAACCACTGACCTTTTCTTCACTTTTCTCATCTGTAAAATGGGGAAAAATAACTAACCCTCAAAAACAAATAGGTCAGTATTGGTGTTGTACCTAAGATCCTCCCTGGACTTCAGTATGTCTTCAAAGAGTCTTAATGGGGTGATACAAATCTGGAAAGAGTTATGTTGGAACACAGAAGATTAAAATATTTTTAAAAAGGATATCTAAATATTAGTAATCATAAACTTCTGTAAGAATATCAAGAACTGGGCTAAAATAATGAAATGTACATGAAAACACATTTAGAAGTGAGTTATGAAAGCTCTAACTTAAGAACATGAAATTCGAGGGTTTCTATTGTTCTATTTATGGTGAAGACACCCTTCCACCACCAGCCCCACCATTGAGGTTCCTCAGTTACATGCTGACATCTTGTGGAATAATATGGAAATGCACTTACCAGCCTTTGTCTGATTTTCCTGCTTTGGCCTACTTAGCGATCCAGTAATCACACAAAAAAATGTTTTTTTCTCCTTTATTGATTTATAGGTCTCATTCTTAAAAAACAGCATTTTCTTGACATTAAACTTTTTTGGGTCAATTTGTAGTATCTTAAAAACGTAAAATGTAATAAATGGAAGTTGTACATAGTGTGGTATTTTTTGAGAAATGATACAGGTTAGAAAGGATTTTTAAGATATCATTCTTATTTAACTTAGAATGTTTTGTTACTTCTAAGGACATCATGAATACGTGAACATCTTTTTTTTTTTTTTTTTTGTAGTCCTGCTTATTCACATTAATTTAGGTGACTTTATACTCTTGTCTTTCTAATATTTAATGAGACAGTTACAATGTCATACTCTGAGGAACAGTTTAAGAAAACGGACTTGGTGTTGTACCTTTTTAATAATTCTTTTAGACAGAAATTAAAATGTTAATTTTTTGGAGATGAATTGTTTAAATGATTTGGCCATTTATAGAAAAATAGCATTAACTTGGATTTCTTTTAGTTGTGTGAAGTGTGAAAATGTTAGTCGCTCAGTCATGTCCAACTCTTTGAGACTCCATGGATTATAGCCTGCCAGGCTCCTCTGTTCATGGAATTCTCCAGGCAAGAATACTGGAGTGGGTAACCATTCCCTTCTCCAGGAGATCTTCCCAGCCCAGGAATCGAGCCTGGGTCTCCTGCGTTGTAGGCACTTTTCTGGCTGAGCCTCCAGGGAACACCTTTGGGTTAAATAGATGAGAGCTGGCCTGGGAATTATGTCTGTGCTAGTTAAAAGCTATATTGTCAGTTTAAGGCGTGGGATTTGACTCACTTTCATCAAGCATTAGCTGTCACTTAATCTCTGAGTTTTGATTTTCTCTTCTGAGAAATTCAGCGATTCTGCTGACAAAATACTAGTAAATGCCTCCTTGGTGCCAAGCCCCCACTCCCTGTTGGGTCTTCAGGGGGAGATGGGGTTGGTGCTCTCCCACAGAGAGCAAGAGAAGGATGCAGGGAGGGTGGAGCTCAGAGATGCTAGAAGTGTGTGATGGAGCCTGACCAAAAGACCCTGGGCTACAAGCAGGAACTAGGCATCAAGGGCCAGAGTGGTCGTCCACAGGTGATCATGGCCCACAGGGGAGGTCATTTAGCTTGTCGTTTTGGTTGAAACAGTTTCATCAATTGCCAGAATTTTTTTTTTCAAGCTACTATCATGTTATTAAGGAGAACAAATATTGGGAAACAATTACAGAACAACAAAGTACAAGATAATGTCAAGTACTCTGGTTATGCGGCGAGTTACCAATTAGTCCATTTTCTATCTAAGTCCCATCAGTTGCCTGCATTTTAAAACATTTTAACCTGAAAGTCTGGACATCCATCTTAACCGGACATATTGGAAGCGGGAGCATCCTCGTGTTTCCTGGCCCCAGGGGAATCTGTTTCCTGCAGAGTAGCAGTTGCTTGGATTTGAGCAGCAGCTATTCATTTGGGTGCAACATGTGTGTGTTGGTCACTCAGTCATGTCCAACTCTTTACAACCCCATGGACTGTAGCCTGTCAGGCTCCTCTGTCCATGGAATTCTCCAGGCAAGAATACTGGAGTGAGTAGCCATTCTCTTCTCCAGGGGACCTTCTCAACCCAGGGGCCGAACCTGGGTCTTATGCATTGCAGGCAGACTCTTTACCATCTGAGACACCAGGAACACGGGCCATCTATGTTTCCATAAACTACCCCCCCTTGCCCACTCCAGATTTTTCATGTTGGTTTGTGTGTCTTGACTCTCCACCCAAATCATTTGAATGAAACTGCCTGGGATGTTTTATTTGTTAAACAGTTCTTGGATGTGTGCCTGTTATGCACCAGACACTGTTCTAGGCACTCAAAATACATTATATGAACAAAACAGATAAAGCTCGCTGCTCTTATGCAGCTTAAATTTTAAAGTTAATATATAATAAATAAATTATATCGTATGTTGGTATGTGGTTAAATGCACCTAAAGTAATAAAAAGAATAGGGCAGAAAAAGAGGAATCAGGAGGGGGGAGCGTCTTGCAGTGTTAAGTTGGGTGAGCTGGGTATTGTGCATTTCGGGGATGATGTGCAGGAGGGCAGGGCAATAAGCTGGGTCTGTACTTTAGGCAGCACTTTCCCCACGGAGGCATAGACTGCAGGAAAGCCTGAAGGCACTTGAGGACTGGCAGGGAGTGATTGGAGTGGAGTGGAGCCAGCCAGGGGGACAGTGCACGAAATGCATTCAGTGGGACCAGATTATGCAGGGCCTCGTAGGCCTTTGTTAGGAATCTGGATTTGCCCCGGGTGAAGCACAATCATTTCAGGCTTTTGAAGAAAGGCTTGAAAATCTACATTTTAAAATGATCCCTTGGTCGGTTGTTTTGAAAACAGACTCTAGGACTAGGGAGACCTTCTAAGAGGTTCATGTCATAATCTGAGTGACAGACCAGGAGGTTGAGAGGTGGTAAAATGCTGGATATTTTTTGAAGTTAGACCACTGGGATTTTTATTTAATCTTTTTTTTTCTTTTTTTGGCCACACCACACATCATGCGGGGCCTTGGTTCCCCAAGCAAAGATCAAACCTGTGCCCCTTGTCGTAGATGCGCAGAGTCCTAACCACTGACTGCCAGGGGGTTCTGCCACTGGGATATCTTGATGCTGAAATGATGAGTTGTAAAAAAAGAAAAAAGAAAAAGAAAAAAATCAAGAATAATTTAGAAGTTTTTGGCCTAAGAAATTGGAAGAATGGGATTGACACTTAGGGAAGATCACAATTTCAATTTAGGGTCTGTTGAGTGGAAGGTGTGTGTTGGATATCTAAGTGAGGATGACTGGGGGTGTTTGGAAGCAAAATTAAGTCATCCTGGCCAGTGAGGTGCACGGAGGGGCAGGGATAGAAAGAAGTTAGGAATGGGGCTCCAGGGTGAGCCGGGCTTCTATTGTGTATATGGTGGGGGACTGCTGAAAGTTGTGACCCCCCCCCCGCAGGAGGTAACATGATTGTATTTGTGTTTAGAGCAGTTGTTATGCTTGGCAGGTGAAGGATATGTGGTAAGAATGTGAGAGAAGGTTAGGTAGGAGATGCCAGCTAAGTTCATTGTTAACTGGAGTAGATATAAATAAATTGGTCGAATCTCTCTGGAGAGCATGTGGCAAAATCCTCAAAAACATGCAAATAATTATGCTTAAGTTCATTGCCATTTTCTTTGTATGGGTCAAAATTAGAAATAATCCAAAAGGAGAGAGGTTAAATATGTTATGATGTATCTATTTAATGAAATACATGAAAGTGGAAAAGTGTGTATATGACATTGGAAGATATTTGTAATATGTTGAAGGAAGAAATTACAAACCAGTGAATCGTTTATTGCTATATTTGTAAGGGATAATAATTACCATCATTTCGAATGCTTATCAGAGGTCGGGTATGCTGCTAAACATTTTACCCACATTCTGTTTAGTATTCCTTGCAGTTTTCTGCTGCGGTTTAGTTGGAGTTTACTCTTAAAATAGTCTCGTTTTTTTAACATATCAGGAAAGTGAGGCTTAGCAAGCATAAATAATTTACTTAAGGTTATCTAGATAGGAAGTTGTGGAGCTGGAATTTGAAACCAAGTCTATAGGACTTTAAATCCAGGTCTCTTTACTGTTAGCCTCCCTTACCCACAGAGCACAGAAAAATTCTGAGAAGGATACACACACACCCATATATATATATGTAGGTATCCCAAATCCTGGGCTTAGGTATAGTAATAAAATGAACATGTTTTACTGCCATTATTACATATGTTTAATATATAGCTTTAAAAACAGGCTTGGGCTGAGCTAAGTCATAGCTATGGGAATGGAAAGAGTGTTAACTGTGAGCCTATAAGACCCTTATCAGTGAGATGATAAAACTGATTGGATGTGAGGAATGTGGAAGAAGAAGGAATCTAGAATGACTTGCTGATTTTACCTTGGGAGACTTTGTCATCAAGATAAAACATCCAACAAAAGGAACAGACTCTGGGGTAGTCAGTTTTTGGCATTTGGGGTTGACATACCTATGTAAAAGTTGCCTACATGGGCCTGAAGCTCAGGGGGATGGACAGAACTGGAGACATGCACTTGGGACCAACACAGAGACTGTACTTG